CAAATCAAAATTGATGAAGGAATACTTTGATGAGAAGCAGGTGAGTGTTATGACATGGCCGCCCCAATCTCCTGACCTCAATCCCATAGAAAACTTATGGAGCATTATAAAGTACAGACTCTCGAGAAAGCAGTTGAACAACAAAAAGGATTTGATTGTGAATTTTATATCTGAATGGAATTCAATGCTTGAAGATGAGATTTGCCAGAACCTAATCAAGTCAATGCCAAAAAGGGTTGAAAAGGTTATTCAAAATAAAGGAGGACCCGTAGATTATTAAATATTTCGAACTATATTACCTATTATAAATAAATTAAACTTCTATTATTCTTTATTTAAAGCTGTTCAGTTATGTTTCTATTGATTACTAGTTGCAGGAAATAAGTGAGTCACTTTTCTTGCACAGAATTTTTCCCCATAATCTCATTTATATCCAGAATTATAATTATCAATAGAATACTTTAGGGTGAGTAAAATTTTTTACTAGGTGGTCAAGAAGGGGCCTTTATATTTTATAGCAAGTTTAAAAATTAGTCTGACCCCAAAAACAATAGTTGAAAAAAATTTTAAGTAAAAAAATCAGGTGAGTCACTTTTATCGAACAGCACTATATATATATATATATATATACACGATGTAAGATAAAAAAGCATGAGGACAGTTGCTATATTAACGGAGGTAAATAAAATACCCTTTTTTCTACATTCTACACCATCACTTGAGAAGACACCAGATATGTTGAAACAAAATGGCAATTTTTGTAGTGATTTTATAACATTTTTATGTTATAATTTATCGAATAAATTATTATATTTGCTCGGCTCTGTATTGAGCACTCTTTTAAGAATAGTATTTGTTGGTTATTGGAATTTATTCGTATACACCAATCCTATAATTGTGTGTGTGTATATATATATATATATATATATATATATATATATATATATATATATATATATAATTTCTCTCTGATTTAACCAGTAGAGACAATATTTATGAATAAAATGACAATAGGAAAACTGGTAACTGCTGAAGCGTTTTGTCCAATGTGGACTTTATCAAAGCAAAATACGAAAAAAAAAAGTTTTTTTTTCGTATTTTGCTTTGTTAAAGTCCACATTGGACGAAACGCGTCAGCAATTACCAGTTTTCCTATTGTCATTTTTATTCACACACACACACACACACACACACACACACACACACACACACATATATATATATATATATATATAAATTAATTAATCTACATATACCTACTTTCGAGGTGCAACATAAAGTTTCGCGGTTCTACCAACTCAGCAAGCACGAATTACTACTTTCGATTTTTTTTTTAATTCTGGGTCTCATACTAGGAACGCTCAGATCCACAGCTCAAGCTTAATATAAACTTAATATATTATTGGGGTGTAAACACAAAATATAGACTGTAAGTAGGGGACTAATGCAAAAGATGCAAGCTTAAAACTTAAAAAAGAAAAGCCGGTTAACCCCTTAAGTACTAACCGACATTAAAATGGAGGAAATCAATATGTAAGCTAAAATGTAGAAAGGGCATGTGATATTTGGATAATATATCTATCCAGAATTAAACTATTTTAAGAGAGTTTTCTTTCCGTGATAACAACGTAACATGAGTTCATTTCATTTATTAAGTAGAGTTCAGTCATTAATATTCTGGAGGATGAACCTTTTTTTCCCAGTAAACACAGATTTCACCGGTTGCAGCGACCGGAAAAGGGTTTAGTTGCGGTGACGAAATTCCAAATTACTTCCGGTGCATAGTCATCATTTTTAATATCAGTAAAATTTTGAGAGTGACGTGCCATTTGTATATTGCTTATTGTTAAGAATCCTTTTATGGTGGTAAAATCTTGTTTTCCAGTTACTGACTGTGGAACTGAAATAAAATTTTGTCTCGTCACCATTTTTAATGCTAGCCTTGTAGATGATTTGTTCTTGAGAATTTACAACAAAAATATTAAACAATATTTGTTTATTAGATTGCGAAATATCCATCCGCGCATATGCAAGCCTCGAAAAATTTCTTCAGCCGGCCAAGCATAGATAAAATATGGAAACTAGTAATACGGGGAGCTAAAGAAAAATGACAATAACAGGTTGAAATATGAGCTCTAGTTAAAAAAGTTACTAAAACATTAAATTTTTAAGTCCCGGATTATCAACCGTTTTCAGGTTATTTAAAGCCAGAAAATATTTGATTTTCAGATTCTAAAATTTTTTTAAAGATAATAATGATTTAATGATAAAAGTCTTATTATTTAACCCATAGCTGGGGGGATATGGTGTATTCATACTTTTCCCGTTTTCAGGTTATTTAAAGCCAGAAAATATTTGATTTTCAGATTCTAAAATTTTTTTTAAAGATAATAATGATTTAATGATAAAAGTCTTATTATTTAACCCATAGCTGGGGGGATATGGTGTATTCATACTTTTCCCAAGGTCTTTGTGCATAAATGAATATAACGAACCCAAGTGGGATTCGAACTCGGCTCTTCAATTAATAATTCCGAGCCATTAGCTATTCTATTACCTGCTCATCCAAGCTTACATCAGTTGGTATTCCTAAGCAGTCATCCATGTAGGTACTGGCCAGGTCGATATTGCTTAACTTCGGTGATCGTAGGGGAATCGGTATTTCAACGTAATGTGCCCGTAATCCTGTATATCTTAAGTGGGTCCTTTATAGGCTGAATATTAGTAAAAAAAGAAAAAAAAAGGGCAAAAAAGAAAGGTTTTTTTAATATCTATGCGTCATACACCATCTGGTTTTCAATATATCCAGCCAGTTGCCATATTTGCATTTCTTTCATTGATTTTGAAAATCACTTTGTCCTTCATTTTCTTTAAGCCTTCCTGATATCCAATTCAGTTTTTACAAGATTATTCCGACAAAGATAACAGAAGTTGTACCAATAGCTCGATTTAAAAGTTTATATTGTCTTAGTATTAACGCTACCTTTGTTAGTACAAGCCACGGCAGAGAGCTTTAAGGCGTGTTTTCAGACGAAGCAGATATTTTCGCGGATCAAAGAAAGATAATATAGCTGTGTCCCTTATCAGGGTTATATTTGATAAGACCGACAAATATATACCACACCCATCGAGAAATTGATCCATTTATCGACCAGGCTATGCTCTTTAGTTCATAACTCTTATGTAAAAAAAAAAAGAAGAAAATCAAAACAATGAGATAAGGATATTCGTTTGAATAACTTGTAGAATAATGGCACCTCTTAAAATTTTACACAAGTATTAAAAATTATAATAACTAGTTTTTTTTTTTTTTACCTTAAGCAAGGCAATAAAGCCACTAGGACGCAAGGGGCTACTGAGTGTTACAGAATATGAGAAAAAAGAAAGAGACGACTAATAAAGAACAAGAATTAAGAAGACAGAAGATAAGGATTAGCATTGATTTTTAATTTTAATCGAAAATAAGTAGATAAAACTTGTCTAAATTATTAAATCAAACATGTCTCAATATATATATATATATATATATATATATATATATATATATATATATAAGTGCTTGTTTGTGTGTGTAATCAGGGAGGACCAACCTTCTTCTAACATCATGAATTGGCGCTACAGCATCACAAAGAACGATACCGCAGAAACTACTTGAGGATTTGCAACAGCAACAACAATTAATATGTAACTGGAAGAGATAATAATAGCATAATAAAGATCTTGATCTTCCACACTACTTCAAACAAAAGGTTAGGAAGGTAACCGCCATCAGTACTAGAAAATCGATCACAGCTAGTGGAACTGAGAAACTCATTCTACTCAAAAATTGTTTTAACAGAAATATCACTGTCGATTCGGTTTAGTTAAGTTTGGTTTATTTAACGGCATATCAACTCCCCATGGGTCATTTAATTCTGAACTTTGATATTCTATAGAGCTTTAGCAATTGTATTGCTCGTAATTTTTCACTTCCTTTTCAAATAATATATTGCTGTTTTTTTTTTTTTTTTTTTACTATGAAAATATATTGCTGTTATTCTTACTACAAAAACGTATTTTTATCAATTCATGTTTTGACGTCAGTTTGGGAGTCACGGTTTGCCCATAGCTGGGATTCTAACATTTGCTACTGCCCCATGTTTGGATCAACCTGGGAAGAACAGCAATTTTGACGTGATTCCACGCTCCTCAGAATCTCCCAATCGGAGGTCTTGCTGTCGGAAGTACTGTATCATCAAACCCAGGACGAGTGTCTATTCGGTCAATAAATAAAGAATATTTCCTTACAAAGAAACGGTTATTTTTTATATTACCGTTAAGGTGTTCTCTGGAGATTCCAATTGGTTGGTCAGTTTGGTCAGTTTATATGAGAACGTTTTTAGCAAACACTCGAATAATGAATACTTTACCGGGGTGAAAAAAAGACCACATTCTTCGACAAAAAAAAAAAAAAATAATAATAATAAAAATATATACTTTTAACAGCTTGAAAAGAACATTTAGTATTTGAATAAAACTAATTCAAAACGGATCATCTAATCTTTAAGATCCACCCGTATCTGTGCAAACTTCGAACGGTAGGCTTTTTAACTCCTAATCCTTTTGTATTATTATTAATATTATAATTATTATTGTTGTTGTTTTTGTTGTTGCTGTTATCTTCTGGAATGATCTTGTTGAAAAATACAAAAGATACAAGACGGAAAAGACAAAGAAATGCAGTGTAGCGTTCGTCCTTTGAGAGTTTTTGGAAATGTGAAATATTATTCGCTTCTTTTTTGATCGCAGCAGTTGGACAAACGGTGTATGGCTGCTATTGGCATCAATAATGATGTTTAAGGAGATAAGCTTTTAAGTTGGAGGAAGAAATTGTATGCACAGAAGTTTTCTTATTCATATTCAAAATGCACTTTTAAATTGCATTTGCAGGTGTACAGCCGTAGGTTTGGGTTGTTGAAGAAAAACGGAAAAATAAAACCAATTGTGTCGGTGGCATTCAGCATCTATCTAAGTCATTCTGCTATCTATCTATCTATCTATCTATCTATCTATCTATCTCAGTCTTTCTCTCTCTCTGTCTCTCTCTCACTCTCTCTCTATATATATATATATATCAGTCTGGGACTGTATCTATTCTATCTATCTATCTATCTACCTGATTATCTGATATTATATGTTTCTATCAGTCTGAGGTTGCTTATATCTATCTATCTATCTATCTATCTATCTATCTATCTCGCACTGTTTATATATCATCAGTCTGGTTTATCTATTATATCTATCTATATATATATATATATATATATATCTATCATATATGTCTATATATATATCATATATATTTTATATATATATATATATATATATATCTGTGTGTCTCTGTCTGTCTGGTCTCTCTCTCTCTCTCTCTCTCTATATATATATATATATATATATATATATATATCAGTCTGAGACTGTATCTATCTCTCTCTCTCTCTCTATCTGATTATCTGAGGCTATATGTCTCTATCAGTCTGAGGTTGCTTCTATCTATCTATCTATCTATCTATCTATCTATCTGAGTCTGGTTATATATATCAGTCAGAGGCTGCTTATCTATCTGACTAAATCCGTCCATCTATCTATTATCTATCTATCTGATTCGGACTTTCTCTGTACACACACACACACACACACACACACACATACAGCCATATATATATATATATATATATATATATATATATATTCATGACCCTTTCAATATGTTTGACAACGTAGCTAGTGTATTTAAAATTCAAAGAAGCCATAACTGATTATACTCAAGTAAAATATACATGAAACTAAGAAGCATGAATGCCTTTGATAAATTCTTGCAAAATAATTAAAGAATGAAATAAAAAAGAACAAAAAAGCAACACATAACAAAGAAGATAGATATTTATTTATCTTTAGAAAGTAAATATGGCGAAACAAGTTTGCAATATATTTTCTTTCCTGTTTTCTGTTTCTCTCCTCTTTTTTATTTTATTTTTCTCACTAATCTATTCTTTCTTGAAAATTTAAATTAGAAAATAAATCCATAGAAATTAGCACATAGGGATCAGGGTGTTTGACGAGTTTAAAAGATTAGGTTTCTAAGCCGTGACGTCAAACCGCGTAAGTGACGTCAGAGCTTAACGGATTGAACGCATTATAAAAAAAAAAAATGCCATTTAAAATGGAGGAAGCTTTTTCAGGGAAAATAAACAAAACCCATCAGAAATTCATTAGCCTAGTTTTACAAGTGAACACAATCAATAAGGTAAGAAAATTGCCCGTAAAAACAAGAGTGACTTTTTAGTGGCTCAAACACTTTCTTTCGCTACCAATACTTCTCGTTGGTTAAAATTAAACAAAAAAAATGTATGTTGCTTTTTATTTATTTATTTATTTATTCTTCTAAATTGGATTTTTTTCCGTATCTAGGCAGCCATTTATCAAAAAAGTACACCTCAGAAAAAAAATATGTGCAACAGGGAATCAGACTGATAATGTAGTTTATCGTCATACCCAGAGTTGTCCTTCTCCTAGACCAGTTGCCATCCAAGGCTATAAAACCCAGTCTGTCCTGCTATTTAACCCATAGCTGGAGGGAGAAGAAGAGGATTCACACCTTTCCCAAGGGTATTAGCACGTAAGTGAATGTAATGGATTTGACTGGAATTCGAACTCGGCTCTCCGATTCCTCAATCAAATTAATTGAAACAACTGCTTTAATTTTCTTTCTTTCACCATACGGTCAGTTTTAGACCAATGGCGTGAAAGAGTGTAATCGATTTCTATTTTTATATCAGATTTTCATTTGCGGTGATGTGCAGCAATAAAAAAATCTATTTTCGGGTTGTATGATGAAATTTGTATGGTCTTGGAAAATATTGCGTCATACGTGATTGCATCAGATTTTCATCACGTCCGAACACTGTTGTCTCGACTTTCGATTAGTTGTCCTAGTGCTATTGTCTGCAACGAATGTTACTCCAAGGAAGCGTAAGAAAATTGTAACATTGGCAAGCCTTACCAGTGAGCAAATCAAAAGTATTATAGACTGTCCCAGAATCTCTTCTGGATTATACTCAATCGAAGATATATATATATATATATATATATATATATATATATATATATATATATATATATAGCATAATAGGGACTTAGGTGTTTTAAATCTTTATAAATATTTCAATAGTTAAGCAATTTTTTTTTTTTTTTTTTTTAGATATAGTAAAAAATTGTTTTAAATATTTATGACAGTTAGATTTAAGTTAGGAATATCCGAACAGTGACGTTGCATATCACGTGACGTCCGCGTCTCGCGAAGGACGCTTTTGCTAACAAACAGTAATTTTAATTTATTTGTAACAAACAGTTATTTCTGATGAAAAATTGAGAACAATTTGAAATATCAAATATATATATAAATAAATAAATACTTTCATAAAATAAAACATTATAATTTTCAATTTGAAACTTTTATATATATATATATATATATATATATATATATATATATATATATATATATATCGTAGTCGACTCTCCCTCCACCCCATCGAATTCGACGTATGAGGGTCAAGCAGATGAGTTCCCAGGAAACCGACAGCCCGACAACAGCACATGTGATTTGATTATAGTGGTGAAGGTTTCGTGAAGGACCATCCACACTTTTTGAAGGGCCGATTACAAAGACCTGGCCCTCTGCAGGTTTTGAATTCAGAGTTGTCCTTCTCCTAGACCAGTTGCCATCCAAGGCTATAGAACCCAGTCTGTCCTGCTATTTACCCATAGCTGGAGGGAGAAGAAGAGGATTCACACCTTTCCCAACGGTATTAGCACGTAAGTGAATGTAATGGATTTGACTGAATTCGAACTCGGCTCTCTGATTCCTCAATCCATTATATATATATATATATATATATATATATATATATATATATATATATATATATATATATGGTTATAAACTTCAATCTTCCATGAATCTTATGAATATAAGCTTACTTGCCTACCGAACGCTCCTTTGTGGCCGAGTCGGTTAAGGCACGTCAACGTAAATGACGGTTCCATATATATATATATATATATATATATATATTTGGTGTCAATCAGTGTGTTTTCATCTCAGTTTAGGGGGTTAACTATTTGCCCATAGGTGCTATCATCCCGGATCAAGGTGGACCTGGGAAAAACAACAAAATCTACTGATTAAAGGTCTTGCTGCTGGATGTAGTTTATCGTCATACCCAGAACCCTCATTTTTCAAGCCTCGTTATCGATTAATTGTATGTACAGGTTCCACTTAGGGTCTGGGTTGAGTTTAAGTCTCCAGAGGCGCTGAAGACACGGGTCCTCCCTGAATGGAATACGAACGGAAAGTGGGATGTTTTTTTTTCAGTGTTTCGAGGCCTGGTGGGTCGTAGCTGTGAGTTTTAGAATTGGTCAAACTAAGGATGATATCTGGTCTGGACAGTTTCCATGAAAATAGCGATAGAGTGTCGAGATGTCTGTAACATTTCGTCTCTGTGAAACTGTCTTCCTGATCTTTTGACAGAATCTTTTTTGTCGAAGATCAGTGGATGAAAGAAATGATAATTAAATCTATTTACTTTTCTTTTTATCGTAAATTACACTGTTCCTAAGTTAGGCGTATGTTCTTGCCTTGATTTCCTGGTGTAGAAATTTCTGACAGAAAGCCCGTCATTTAAGAAAAAAAATCATTTAATTATCACTCCGGTTACGAAATATATGCAAAGAATTTCTTACACATGGGGGTTAGCCATTTTGTCGTGTTGTGCTGGCGGAAGGAGGAGTCATATTGGCATGTGCGTGTCATATACCGAAGCAAGACAAAGTACATCGGAATTTTAGAGATTACTTTTTTTTTTGCGTAGAAATATTTTTATTGACTTAAATACATTCACAGCACAAGAGAAGGGAACGCTTCATTATGAAGCAGTAGATAGCACCTAGTTGCTATTAAGCAACGTCGAACCTGGTCAGTAACTGGAAGGGTAACCTCTTGGGAATACCAGGTGCTCTAAGCTTGAAAGTGCGTTGGTGTAATGAATAATGGCTCGGAATTGTTAATCAGAATGTCGAGTTCCCGTACGATTACCAAAGTTAAGCAACGGCGAGCCTGGTCAGTACCTAAATGGGCAACCGCTTGAGAATACCAGGTGTTGAAAGGTTGGATGTGCGGGTGGTGTAAGTGATAATGGTTCCGAATTGTCAATCAGAGAGGCGAGTTCAAATTCCCATTGTGTTCATTATATTCTCTTGAGCGTAGACACATTTGGCAAAACTTCTTTTCCCCTTCAACTATGGGTTAAACATTAACTCATGTATCATTCAACCATTATTAAAATAAAATAAAAAAAAACTTCTATCTAAAAATATTTTCTGGCTTTAAATAACTTGCGGACGGTTGATAAACAGTAGAAAGCGAATCAATCAATCTATTATTACTGTGTATTGATATCGATCCTCATTGTGGATCTGGACACTGTAACCTTATATGTGTGTAAGGAGTTATTTCGGTAAAATCTCGACGCTAAATGTCTACCTCAGAAAAAGATTCTAGTGATTAATAAGCTTTGAACAAAGCTTTATGTTTTTATATATACAAGATTTCAGTTTCCAGTTCGCCCTGGGTTTGTGAGATCTATAAAGAAATCGCCAGGCCAAGGTCTTCAAGAAGTTGAAAATTGGTTCCAGAAAGAACTATTTATACATGGCCAGTTGTATATCGCATGCTCAAGAGTAAGAAATCCTAATAATTTATTCTTTGCTGTTGAAAAGGAAAAAAATAAATTTTCTTAAAAAATATTGTTTACTATGAAGTCTTATAAAATTAAATTAAATGAAAGAAATTATTAAGCTGCGAAGTAAGGCTTTTGTCAAAGTATTTTTCCAAACAAGCTTATTCAAATTTCATCGATTGGTTTGAGAAATTGAACGAAACGTAGAGTTTGTAAGTCTCGACAAAAATGTTAGCGATAACTTCAACAATACTAAATACTCTGTGGATTTCAACACTTGTCAGCTTGTTGCAAAAAAGATTCTAGTGATTAATAAGCTTTGAACAAAGCTTTAAGTTTTTATATATACAAGATTTCAGTTTCCATATCGCCCTGCGTTTGTGAGAACTCTAAAGAAATCACAAGGCCTAAGTCTTCTTCTAAGTTGGAAATTGGTCCCAGAAAGAAATATTTATATACGGCCAGTTGTATATCGCATGCTCAAGAGTAAGAAATCCTAAGAATTTATTCTTTGCAGGTGAAAAGGAAAAAGAAAAAATTTTCTTAAAAAAAATATTGTTTACCATGAAGTCTTATAAAATTTAATTAAATTATTAAGCCGCGAAGTAGGGGATTTTGTCAAAATTATTTTCCCAAACAAATCAATTTATTCAAATTTCATCGACTGGTTTGAGAAATTGAACAAAACGTAAAGTTTGTAAATCCCGACAAAAAATGTTAGCGATAAATACTAAATACTCTGATGATTTCAAGTCATGTACATTGCTTTCACTTCCGATGGAAATGTATGGATTCATCTCTTCCCTGAGCTATGGTTAAATAGCAGAAAAGATTGGGCTTAGAGCCTCGATCTTTGAGAAGGTAAACTCGGAATTCAAACCAGCCTGCATACTATTCTCCCCCAGCTATGAGTGGAATAGATGGACATACTGGTTCTTATAGTCTTGGTTAGCAGCCGCAGAAAGAAACAATAGCTTACTGCGGGAATATCTTCTGCCAAGTCAGTCTTGCATCGAAAGATCGCCCAAGCCCGTATCACGTATGACACTTAAGCGACGGATAAATTGTTTAAATTTCTTAAATGATATCAATCATAAACTTTTGATTCGTCTTTCTTTCCTTCTATTTCTCTGACTTTTTATCTCAACTCTCAGATCGTCATTCTACAACCATTAAATTGGCAGCACGTAGAGGAAATAAAAAAGGAAATAAACAGATCTTCTTTTTTAATCTCCGTTCTATGCAATTTTTTTTTAAATTGCACAAATCGCAGATTTTCGTATTGTTATCCCGACAGCTTGTTTAACGAATCTCTATCTATAAAAGGCAGGATGTGTGTGTGTGTGTGTAACGAATGCACGGCCGCAATTTTCGACGGATTTGCACCAAAATTTACATGCACATGCTCCAAGTTAGCGGCAAGGCTAAGACCGACTTTGCATTTCCCAACTCCCATCGATAGTGGAAATAATCGATTTTTTCATGCTTCTACTGCAGTTTTCCTGTTGTTTGCGGCCATTTTCTACTGGCCAGAGTGAGAGCCTATAGCTGGCTGCCACGAAGATTCTATTGGCCAGCGTGAGAGCCAACAGCTGACTGACACGAATGTTAACTAGTATGCTAGCATGCAAAAAATCGATAGCTGAATTCGTCACAAGTGGGAAAATTTAAATCTGCATGGCATTTTACTCCATTGGCTCATTCGCTTGCTTAAACTCAACGTTGATTCTGATTCCGCAGAACTGGGTTCGGTGTGAAAAAGTATTTGTTGTTAACATTCTTTTTTCATTCGGTTTTTCCAGTTACGAGTCCTTTTTTTTTTAAAGCTGATCGTTTTGTGTTCATTTTGTTTAGTTCTTTTTCATAACAGATTTAATGTTTAGTATAGAGCTTCAAAAAAAATTCGCAGTGTGAGATAGGCAAGAAGTAAGGCATGTAGCAACATCAGCATGGCAAATGGCACTCCTTTAAAGGCAAGGAAGGGCCAAAATGATTTAAGTCAAGTGATAGCGATTGCTGTATGTGTCGTACGATTTTTTAATCAAGCACGGGCAATGCCGAGCCATGCTGCTAGTGTAGAATAAAAATCTTTGAATTTTGATAAAAAGCACGTGAAATCGAATGAAAGGAAAAAGTATTCAAAAATCTATATTAATTTTTTCATGATTTTTGACCACGTTCATATTCTGATGTATTCTTTGTGTTCTGGCAACGTTTTGATATTTATTGAACCTTTCTTTTCCATTTTCCTCCTGAACTGAAGTGTAAAAACTACATCGAATCAATAGTTGCATCTAATGCAAGGAAAGTTAGCTCACTGTATCGGGCCAGAAGGTTTGTTTTTCGTCAGAGTTCATTTTGCGCATATACAAATCTATCATTCATCTGTGCATGTGTCGCCAAATCTGGTCTAGTGCTCCTGCTGTACATCACGAGATTCTTGATAAAATCTCAAGGAGGATCTGTGATGTAATCAATCTTGACCAGGCACCTCGAATTCAGTCACTTTTCTTACCGACATGACGTGGGTTCCCTCTGTCTTTTCTATAAATATTTTCATGACAACTCCTCTGAAGAGCTTTTTTTCCTGGTGCCTCGACTACATGAATTTAAGCGTGCTACTAGATTGGCATTTAGGTCCCACTCGTTTACTATTGCAGTAGCTAATTGCAACCGCCACTTCTACTCCAACAGTTTCTTTTCTCGCACTTCCCACCTGTG